CCCACCAAAAGAAGATAACTGCACCCAAAAAATAGTCTGCGTTAATTTATCATGATTTAAAGTGAGGATGCTTGAGACTAGTTTATGTTTTTATATGTAATAGTTGAGGAAAGTCTGAATTAGGTAATTTCTCATGTCTTTTCATCAAGTCAAAGTCAAATTCTGTGTCTTTTTTAAAATTCCAACAATTAAACATTGTAAAATGGAAGAGAATCCATCTTGATTTCAGAAAAGACATTCACAATTATAATAAATCAAGGCAGAAATCAGCATTTAAAACCATTCACTGCTTAAAAACATGATTTTAAAAGAGATATTTATTTCATGAGAACTGATCTCATGAGTTTTGACACCTGCAGAAAATGTAAAAAACAAAACAGAAAAAGAAAACAAAAAACAAAAAAGTCTTAAATCTTTACTTGGAATTTAAATTCCCAAAGTCAAACTCTAGTATAATTTATTTTGTATGGAGCTACATTTGGGCCATAACATTTGCTCAAAAGAAAAAAATGAAAGTGGGGAAAAAAGGCTTGAAACTGAAAAAAAAAAAAAAAATTTCAGCTTTAAGGTTTTTTAGACTTGATGACAAAACATGTAAGATTATTTTACTTACAAAACATTTTTCCCATAATAATATGCCAGTAGAATTAACACAATTTCACAATTTATTACTTAAATTAAGCCTCTATGTCTTGCTGAAAAGTTACTTGCAAGTTTATTATCTTATTTCAAGCTTACAAAGATAGTTGCTCAAAAAACTAGACGAAAAATACCTGATAATATTTTGTGTTTTTGAAGTGAAGTAGCATCTCGTATCGAATTAGGATTATCATTAGTAGCTTTTTTCCGTCGTTCAGATTTACTGCTGCAGAATAAATTAGAACTGAAACTGATTGTTAATTAAAGTTAACAATGTGACTCAGCGTCAGAATAACACAGAGAGCTCAGTTTACCAAATAATTACAGGAGATTTTGTGGAAAACGAACTGAATAAGCCTTTTTCATTATTGCCAGTTTTATTACAGCAGGGTTTATTTCAAATATAAATTTTACCCATATGGGAAAGTTGCATCTGTGTGAAGCTAATACTGCAGTTTGGATGAGAGTTTACAGCAGAAGAAGATTAAAAAAGATGCCTGCTGTACCATATTATAAAGTGGAGCCACTGTCGCTTCAATGGAAGATGAAACTGAAACTGGCCAGGCGTAAAACATTGTTCGCAAATCTCCCTCCATCCTGATATCCAGACATCTGACGGCGGCGCGAGCGTCCGTGATGAAAATGAAAATGCAGCTGTGTTCTGGTTCAGCAGCCTCCGTGCCCAGATGTCATCGCAGTGGCATTTCTGTACAATTTCCGCAGAGATGATGACGCTCTCAGCAGAGAAGCTCTTACTGCTGCTGCTCTGAACTCTGAGAATAAGTGATTATTAACTGCAGACAGATGATGGATGGGAAGGATGACACGAAGAAAAGCAGAGAAAGGAGCTGATGGAGTGACTAAGGTTTGTGCTTAACGGTGACCTATCATGCTTCCTTGGACAGGTTAGGTGAGATTTATGGGAGATGCAAAACATGTTCATTACAGTTTTTTCCACAAAAAACCTTAAACCTATAAAATGAGGTTTTAGTTGCAGTTCTGTCTATTTTGAGCTGTTTTAGGGTATCTTGTCATTTTTAAATTCATATAAGTTTACACTTGCACCTGAAAATGGCTGCAAACACACGCAAAATTATACAACCAGACATCTTTGAAAAGCAGAAGTGGAGCCTCCTGCACAACCAACAAGAATACAAGTTGTAAGGCAACAACAAAACACTTGACTTTTCCAGAAGCCATTGTATAATGCATACAGCAAAACCAGCTGACCAAATGTGCTGGAACTTGGCTAGTGTTGCTAGGTAACAGTGCATTGTGACCCTTTTTCTAGACTCCAAAAACCACTAACATTTGATTAAAACCTACTGGGTGTGTTTTAAGTGCTTTTTTAAAAAAATAGAAGACATAGAAACTCAAATGAAAATATAAAAATGTGAATTTAACGTAGGTCCCCTTTAACGTACAAAGACGCACAAAAAAGAAACAAACATAAAACTTTTCTGGCAAATTTTTTTAGGGTATTTAGAAGGGAAGAAGACACTTGACAGACTTTTGGTTTGTACTCTGTGCTGCTGTTTTCTCACTTTGTTCCAGAAAACTGGAGCCTCCTGCGGTGGAGTCACAGCTGCACAGACTGATGGCCTGAGGGGGAGAGGTTGGGAAATAATTACCAAACATCTTCACAAAGCAGTCACTGTAAAAATGAACTCTTCTAATATATAAATCTAAAAATAATAGCAAATAAATATACTCTGCGGTCTGTGATTCATCGGTGTGTGATAGCATGCTGGGGGAGGAAACGAGAAGAAACAGAAGAACTGCCTGCTCAGAATCAGTCAGGTAGACGAAAGGTGAAAGGCCTTATAAGTGTGAAATTTAGACGCCTCAGGACCTCCGCTGGGACACACCTGCGGCCGCCACCCTTCGTGTTTAGAGATGAAGAGCTAGAAAAAAAGGAAATCCCATTTGTAGCCACTTCTTCACCTCGCAGGCAGTTCTGACGCATGGAAACTCTCCAGTCGGAAAGAAAAGATCATATATATTCACAGATTTTAACCATAAATGTAACGTGCGCTGTAAAATCACAAAATCTTACCAAGTATTTTGGTCTAGTTTCCAGTGTAAACACCTTATTAGACTTGAAGTAAGATAAAACAAACTTATAAGTAACTTTTCAGCAAGAACAAACAGCTTCTTTTAAGTAAAAAATTCCTTAATATGAATGAAAACATATTTGTTCCACTGGCAGATTAAGATGGAAAAAATGTCTGTAATGTAACAAGTACAAGTACTGATTCTTCTCATATTTTTGACAGTTTATTTAAAAAAATAAAGCACCAGTTTACAATTAAATCATACACATTGTTATAAAACTTTCATTTAAGCTCAGTCAGTTTTTCCCACTAGTGAAATAAAAAATCTTCTACATATGAAAAACCAGCTGATTACACAGATTCACTGATTTGGCAGGAACCCGTCTTCCTAAACCGGCATGTGGCAAGAGTGGTTGGTTGATTGCTGTTGAGTTTGCAGCAAGGCCTCACACTGGGCATGCACGTGTCGACAGTGGAAAGAAAAACACTCCTTTAACAGAAGGAAACCTGGAGGAAAACACTAAATCCAAGACTAGTTTTTATTTTTTAGTCCGTCAGTTTTGGAGAGAAGCAGCAATAACATATAAACCAGTGACAAAATCTATAAAGTAAAAAAAATATGTGGACAGCATCCATAGCGCGACAACACAAATATTGTTCTTCAAACACTTTTTAGCGAACATTAAGAAATGACTTATTTAAAATAAGTTGCTAAATATTGCTATCATACTTATAAGTTAATTTTGACTTATTTCAAGTACTAAGATGTTTGTCTTAGAAATACTTGGTAAGATTTTGTATTTTTGCAGTGTAAGGGCACTTTAACATTCCTGCAAACTGAAAAAATTTTATAACCAAATAAACACAAGAAAAACAACAAGAATCCATCAGGTGATGAAGAAAAGACTAGGTCTACTAAAAGAAAAGCCTTCACTAACCTAACATGAAATATTAATATTCTAATAAGAAGAAACGTAATAAAATAATGCAATAAGGTCTCCTGGAGTGAAGTTCTTAGGGTTAGGGTAGAAAACTCATTAAATGCATGTCATAGAAAAACTCTGGAAACTGATATACACTGATAATCAAAGCAGCCGATGCTCTGAAGAGACTCTCTCTGCCTCTCATCCCAAACACTTACATCATTTTGTCACCACTTGTAAACTTCAGAGTCTGATTGAACAGCACCTGAAGCTTCGTACATTATCACAAAACTTTGATTATCGACTGATGCCTCATTGTTTACTTTTCAAGATGCTCTACCTCTCGTCTTTGCTGCTTTGAGTTAGAACTGCTAACGGCTCACAGCCACTGAGTGTGGGGGATGGTTGACTAGTTGGTTGGATGGTTTGTTGTTTAGTTTGTTAGTAGGTTGGTAGGAGGGTTGGTTGGTTGGTTGGTCAGTTGATTGATTGGTTGGATGGTTTGTTGGTTAGTGATTTGGTGGGTTGGATTGTTGGTTGGTTTTTGTCTAGTTTCTAGTACAAACTAGAGTGGGAGGGGGGGTTGGATGGATCGATGGTTGGTTGGTGAGTTAGTAGGTTGCTTAATTAGTTGGTGGATTGGTTGGTTGGTTAGTTGGTAGGTTGATTGGTAGGCGGGTCTGTTGGTTAGTAGGTGGTTTCGTTGGTTATTTGTAGTGCTGTAGGTTGTTTGTTGGTTAGTTAGTTAGTATGTGAGTTGGTTGTTTGGTAGGCTGGGTGGTTCTTAGGTAGGTAGATAGGTAGGTAGGTGGGTTAGTTGCTGCTTTGAGTTAACACTTGTAATGCCTTCCAGCCAGCTGCATCTGAGCTGTGTGAAGGTTTCCTGCTGCTTAAGCTCATCAAGTAGCAAGAAGAAATGCGTTTTGCAGCAAAAATCATTGTAAATAGAAATATCCACTGCATTTCAATCAGAGCTGAACTTTGAGTGGGCCACCATCAAAGTCATTCTGCTCTGTTTGTGCTGATATAAATATGCTTTTTATATTTCTCTAAACATGCTGATGTTTGCAAATACCTCAGTAAATTTCAAATAAGATAAAACTAATAAGTAACTTTTCATACAGATGTATAAGCTTGTTCTAAGTCAATAATTCTATAGTTTTTTTATTGGGTCATTTCACTAGAAAACATTTTTTATATTTTAGAAGAAAAACATCTACCATTGGATGTCCTTTCTGTAGCTATTTTAAAAATGATTGACTTAATAAAAGCTTTCTTATTCCAAATGTATTGTTGAGCTTCTTTAAATCTGTCCGATAGCGCCCTCATGTGGACAATATAGATTACTGCAGCTGAAGACAACCACGAAGAAAAATATCAAATGCAATGTTTTAACTCATATATTATTTATTACAATATCTTATATCTAATGTTACAGAAGTTCATTTGAATCCATACAAATAATCTGTGGTGTGATTAATATTTCCAAGATATTTTCATGCAAAGAATACAAAGGAAGATCCACACAAGGACAAACATTCAGGTATTTCTACACCTGGGAATGAGTTAAACTCTCTTCTATTTATTTGGTGCAAACATTTCTTTGATTCAAGATCAGACCAGCGTCTTTCAACAAACAAAGAAGGCATTTGGGAAACTACTCAGACGACACGTCCTTCTCCTCAGTAAACTCCTGGAATAGGAACAGTTAATGGAAACAGGCACAGAGAGCCAAGAAAGACAGAAAATCTCTCATAATCCCTTATTACAGATTATCTGAGCCCGCTTTGTGTCGTTTTGCTGAGTTAACATTTTTAAAAATATGAATAATGGAAGAAAAAAAAGGTTAAAACACAAGTTTAGCAGCAACTTAAAGGTGAAATATGGATTCTTACGCCGCCTTATTTCCCCTTTAGGTCATTACTATGGCAACACACGCTTACAATTTTACATGGGAAGATTTTATAGAGACCACTTCAGTTTTCAGTGTAAATAATTTTAAATTCAGGAGAAAACTAAGCTGTGTTTATGTAAAAAGAAGCAGAGTTACCTGCTGCAGGTAAGCTACTGACCCGCCATGCTCTCTCAGCAGAACCCCACTTCCAAAAATCTGAAGTTGAAATTGGCGTCTGATTAAATGAATGAATAAACATGAGTGTTGACAGGAGGAAGGGTCTTAGAAAACGATTAAATGCAGTGAAACCATTTTATACCATCAGTATAAAGTGTTAAATTAACTTTTTGTTTGTTTAATAATTTGCTGAGATGCATCTCCGTTTTGCAGTGCCATTAAACTTTAACAAAGTTCTTATTTCATTTCTAAATCATAAATGCTCTTTAAGGACCAGTTGTGACAGATTATACCAATATAAAACCCATTAACAAACAGCTAAAATATTAATGAATAGCTTTAAGAACTTCTTGAAATTAAATATTCTTTAACATCTTTTCACTTTGATCAGTCCATTCAGGATTTTCAGATTGTTTTTGTAATTATTTGTAACTGAAAATCACAAATTTTGCAATATTTGCGCTTATGAATGATGTTAAAAGTGACTTTTTGTTAATCAGCGCAATAAGCATGAACCACAACTTGACATCAAGTAAAGCTGAGGCAGCAGTGCCGTAAAAGTAAGAAATACTGCCACCTAGTGAGAGTTAGCATCACTCAAACTAAATGTTTCTAAACATTTTTGTGGAAAATTTACTGCCTATTTATTAGCAACACCAGAAATGCACGCAACTTCCAAAACTTTTGTTTTGAGACTCATTTTCACTCTAAATCATGTTTAGAGTCGAGTTATTAAAAACTGCTTTGGTTTAGACTCCAGTCCAAATATTTTAGGACAGTTGAAATAAGACAAAACTAACTTACATGTAACTTTTTAGCAAGATGAAGGAGCTTGTTTTCAGTCAGTGATGCATTGATGTTGGGGGGGAAGTACGAGTTCAAATGGTAGAGGCGTTACCTAGCAACCCCAGCAGAGTCCTACCTGTTACCTAGCAACCCGGTTCCAGTCCTGCTGGCAGATTATTTTACTTATCAGAGTAAATGTTGTGTTATAAGTGAAATAATCTGGCAGTGGAACTGGTGCTTTTCCATCTATATTTGGAGTTATTTACTTAAAACCTGCTGCTACATCTTCCTGAAAAGTTACTTGAAAGTTAGTTTCCTTGAAATTAGACAAAACTAAGACAGTTACGCTTCAAACTAGACCAAAATACTTGGTAAGATTTTGTGTTTTTGCAGTGCGGCAGAGGTAAAAAGTCATCAATGTTAGAAATGAGCTTTACAGGCTTCACAACCCAGATGAAGATGAGCTCGTCTTTCTCAGCGAAAGGCTGGGAATAAGGCAGCGGGCTGCAGGATGCAGGAAAACAATAAGGTGGGTTTAAAATCATCGTAGCATTCAGGTGAAGAGGAAAAGCGTTTCTTCTGCGACACTTAAAGGAGAACAAAACTAAAGTACATTTTGGTCCTGCAGATTCATCTTCTGACTTTAACATTTCAACAAAAAAAATCCTTACTGGCTCATTTTGCAACTCAAACTATGAAAGCCGTATCATCTAAAAGTCTAAAAGAAGTTAGATTTTTGCCGCACAGAAATAAATACACGCGTTAAATTTGTCTCCATCACAAATCTCAATGCGACACAGAAAATATCAGGCAGAAATGGCTGAACGACAATCGGCATTCAGTGAAATACCTCATTGTGGATATGATGGAAAAAACTTTCCTAGTTCAGGTTTTGTTTTCATTTCTACTTTATATTTGTTGTTGAAAACTCAGGTGAGTTCAGGTTACATCCACACCAACAGCTTCCTAATAAAACTGAATTTCTCTCATTTTCAGGCAAAATTATTTGGTTAATTTTTAATTAGTAAAGACAAACACCAATTGGAAAACTTTTTGTGGAAACTTTTTAAATTAAACTCTGTTGACTGATGAAGTTAAAGTTGATGTTTTTCTGGAAATAAGTGCTTCACTTTGCGTCCATTGGTGTTCAGACTTTGTGCTGCTGTCCAAATTCAATAAATACATAAAAAATTTTTACTTATTTGTGTAGATTGGAGATACAAAGTACCATAAAAACATGAGATTGCAACATTATTATTAAATCATGTTGCATACAAGCAGTTGTTTTTGCTTGATTTGTTGTGTAGTTAATGTTTATAGATAAATAAATCAAATTTATACTGTAAAGATTTATATATTTATTCAGTAAAATTAAAATGTTTAGTCTACATGATTGCATTTTCAATAAAAACAGCCACATCGCCCTCCCTCATTGTTTATTTCCAGCTCATCAAAATTTTTTAAATGTAAATATGTAAATGATAAGAGCTTGATTATATATGTTTTATATATTAGAACTGGAACTTTTATAGAAAATGTAATTTTTTAATGTAATTTTTTATGTTTACATATTTTACAATATGCAAAAGTTTGTTTAAAAAAGGCTATTAAAAATATATAAAATGGAGGATAATAAGTCCATCTATAAGCAATTAAGTGTCACTCATCAATCAATCAATTAATTGAAACTTTAGTTTGATTAATTAGAAAAGAAAATGAAGGTTATAGATATTTTTTATATTGTGGGAAGCATTACAGAGGAGACTAGAGATGTGGAGTTGTGCATAAAGTTTTGCTGATGTTTGATTTATTTTGTGCCGTTAATCTCTGTTATGACTTTGAAAATCTTTTTTATTCAGTTTTTCTCACTAAATTTGCATCAGGAGGTTAATATGTGCTAAATCAGCAGATTTATTTCAATGAAACTGTTTTTGTGGATGCGTCCCGATCTGAAAACAACAACTCTACTGTGACGTCCGACTATAGCAGCAAGTTTTAACTCTGCAAGTTGACTGCCAGCCGTTCAAAGCTAAATAATTAGCTATAACTCAAAGCAGATTTTTAAGACAAACCAGTTAAATTCACTCTTGGATTCTGTGATATTTAGCATATTCAAATCAGAGGGAAATCAGATGAGATGTGGTAAAAATGATCAAAGCTGTCTGACATCCGTCAGGCAGACGGCTGCAAAACTCCCATCAGCTGCAGATCTGTCAAACGTCACATTTCTCAAATCTACAGCAGCGATTTTTTTTTTATAGCAGAGTAACTTCCATGTTCTTCAGACAGCTGCTACATCACCACAGGCCCTTCACACCGCTATATAACTCTGATGCATCACGTCAGATGACTGCCGAGCAAAATGCATGGAGTTCAAACATAAACAGTTCAAAGCTATTTAAATTCCCCACAAGAAGTCGATTAAAACTCATGGAGGATGACAGAAAGGTCACATGATCCGCTCCTCTGCAGCGCCGCGTCCTACTGCAGGTTCTTCAGGAGGCGTCCGTAGCGGAAGTCGTAGACGTGTCGGCAGAACAGAACCAGCTCTGGGTCGACGTCATCGGGCACACAGTGGTGGGTGGGCATGGCGTTGCTAAGAACGGGCGGCACAACGAGGGAGGTGGCGCAGTCGCGGACGCCCTCCCTGCGGCGCTTTACCAAGGCACAAAATCTGCACACAACAAACCCAGGAAGGTTTCAGTGCACTGCAAAAACACACAATGTTACGTAGTTTCTACTTAGTTTAGAAATTAACTAGAAAGTAAGTTTAGTTTCTACTTGAAAAACTAATTTCTAAACTAGTTTCTAGCTTGAAACTTGGTAGGAAATAGTTTCTAGTTAGTATAGAAACTAAATAGAAAGCTTTGTTTCTCGTTGAAAAACAAAATAAATTTGTAATCCAGTTTCTAGTCTCTGAACTACTTTATAGAAACTAATTTGGAAACTCTTATTCACGGTTTCTGTTGTTTTTTATTTTGTGGCGAAACTTTAAACTGCTGCTGCGCAAATTACTCAGCAGGCTGTTGCTAGGTAACCACCAGTTACTCTACAAGCTGTTGCTAGGTAACCACCAGTAAAACTGTTATTGCGCTTCAGAAAATGTTATTTTTTTTAATCAGCAGAGTGTCTGAAATAAAAAACAAAATAAACAAACATGCCCTTCTTACCGACAATACTGGGCCAATGTTAGGACATAGCATTTGTCTTCAATGCAGGCCACACTGTTGACATCCTGGTGACGGGATGCAAAGATCTCATTCTGCAGAGAGACGCCCAGTTAGCACAAAAGAAGGAAAGTCCAGCTTTTCCTTTTAGTGGCCACATTCTGCATGTTTCTCGACTGCCACAGTTTCTCCTTCTGCCAGGCTCATTTTAGCTGCTAGGTTTTATTTACTGTAATTGTAAACATGGCGGCCGTTTACCTCACAGTGCAAGGTGGGGTTGCGCCCTCCCTGCGTGTGTTCTGGACGATAATACCAAAACAAACTCATCATCAGCTCTCCTGAGGAAACACAAGCGTTCATACTGGTCAGTTCTCCCTCACCAGTTCAGCTTCCTTCACCTGTGTGATGGTGACGTACCTGACTCCGGCTCCTCCCACAGCGCAGACACCTTGGCCACGTAAGGCAGAGACTTCTTTCTGGGCCCAGACTTCAGCAGAACAGTGTCTCTGACGTGAATCTCGTCGTCGTCCCTGCAGATTCCCTCAAAGCACTTCCTCAACACCGGAGCCTCTTCTCCCTGAAAACAGCGGGAGCAGAAAATACCCGGGAACAAAAACACAGTGAGAACTCACAGACAAGCTGCTGGTGACGCATCGAGTGTGTTAGAAATTTCTTGTGTCTTTTAAAAGGAACATTCGGAAAAACAAACTGTTTATTTAGAGAGGAACTATTTACATTTTGCACATATTTTTAATTTTATTTGGATCTCAGCTGCTTCTCTAAACAGCACTTAGAAAAATCCATTTTATGGCAATAAATGGATGTTTTTTGGTGCCATTTCAAAAACCTTCTGATTGTTGAGTCACATTCCACAGGCGCTGCGTTGTTACCTAGCAACCCCAGAAACCCAGGCCTGTTACCTAGCAACCCAACTGGGACCCCAGCATGTTTGTTCAGCTGGTTTTGCCGCTGCATGCACTGTACAATGGCTGCTGGAAAAGACAAAGTCTTTTGTTGCTGACTTGCATCCTAAGATATTTGCAAGAGAAACTAAACCATAAATACTTGGTGAGGTTTTGTGTTTTGCAGTGTTTGAGTGGATTCAAAACTTATCCGACTTATTTCACCAACATTTTTCCTTCAACTGGAAGAAAGAAAGTGAATTTGAATCTAATAGAGAATGTTTGAAAGATGCTTTTGGCAAGACTGTCTCTACTTACAACAACAAAAACCTCCTTCTCAAAGGGCTGGCCCAGCGACCTCCAGCCGTTGGTGGATTTTTGCCGGCTGTTCTTCGGCTGCTTGGGAACCGTCTGCCCTCCAACCGAGGCGGCGCTGAGCCTCTGGTTCTTGTCCCGGGTCAGAGGCAGGCCGCCGCGGGCTCCGGACCTCGAGCCGCCGCTGGGCGGCTTGGCGCTCTGCGGACACTCCTTCGCCACCTGCAGCGGCGGCTGGGGTCGGCTGGGGTCGGAGGGCGCCGTCTGGACGTGGGCCACCGATTGGCCGGCTGGAGGCACAGTGGGAACGGGGCAGCCGGTCAGGACTCTGGGGCTGGGACACACGGGGATGAAGGACGGGCCGCAGTGATCGCCGAGGCTCGGCGAGTATTCTTCTGCAGGGAGGAGCAGGAAATGATTAATCGTCACCTACAAACTAGCAGTAGCACTACTTTAACATATTTTTACTTGAAAGTAAAATCCAGCCGTCCAAGAAATTACTAGAGTAAAACAGTATTTGGTAAAAAAGTCTAGTCAAGTAACTAATCAAATTATAATCTCATATTTAAACATTTCATAATCAGATGAACCAAAATATGAAGCTAAGTTGAATTTTTTAAGGACGAATATGACAATAATTCAAATAAAAATAACAAAATCAGGCAAAAGAAAATGTTTCCAAATCAGTTTGTTTTAAAATAAAACTTATGAAACTTAACAAAAAACTGCAGGTGCATGTCCGTGTCTCGTGGATTATAGGCTAAGATCTCTTTATTTTTCATTCAGTGGAAAGAAAATTCAGAAATTTTACTCAAATAAGAGTAGAAATACTTTATTATAAAATGACTCAAGTAAAAGTAAAAAGGACAGCATGGAAAAAAATACTCATAAAAGAAAATTGAAAAAAAAAAGTAGCTGTCCAAGAAATTACTCAATAGGGACAAAGCATTTGGTAAAAAAGAAAACTGATCAAAACAATCATTTAATATTTAAATGATTCCTGATTTAGCCACAGTTTTCACTCCACGCCGGTTGTTTTATTATCATTATTATTATTATTATTATTATTATCATTATTATCATTATTATCATTATCATTATTATTATCATTATTATTATATTATTATTATTATTATCATTATTATTATTATTATCATTATTATTATTATCATTATTATCATTATTATTATCATTATCATCATCATCATTATTATCATTATCATTATCATTATTATTATTATTATTATCATTATTATTATCATTATCATTCTCATTATTATTGTTATTATCATTATTATCATTATCATTATTATTATCATTATTATTATCATTATTATTATCATTATTATTATTATTATTATCATTATTATTATCATTATCATTATTATTATTATTATCATTTATTATTATTATTATTATTATTATATCATTATTATCATTATCATTATTATTATTATTATTATTATCATTATTATATTATTATCATTATCATTATTATTATCATTATTATTATTATTATTATTATTATTATTATTATTATTATTATTATTATTATTATTATTATTATTATCATTATTATTATCATTATCATTATTATTATCATTGTTATTATCATTATTATCATTATCATTCTCATTATTATTGTTATTATCATTATCATTATCATTATTATTATCATTATTTTTATTATTATTAACCAGCTTTGAGACACAATAGTCAGTTCCTCAACATGTCGTTGCTAGGCGACCATAGAAAGAGCCAGTTGGTCGATTCCACCGACTTTGCTTCGCTTAGCGGTGAGACGTTGAGAGGCTGATTCTTTTCCTGCATCCCCCAGAATGCCATGCGGTTCTGGATCTGGGTTCGGTAAAATGACTGAACATTCGATCAAACATAGCATTGATTGATATCGATCACGTCTATATGTCATTATTGTTTTATTGCCCAGCCCTAATTAATCATGATGAATGGATTTTTAAGATAATCTTCAACCAAATTTAGTAATCGATTAATTGTTAACTGGGGAATATAAACTGCTGTAAAAACAACACTCAGAGCAGCAATTAAGCCAAAACTGTACAAATCCTTACATTTTGCATTTATTTATAGATAAATAATTATGTTCTACCCAGAAGAAAAGCTGTTTTTTCAGGATAAATGTTCAATATTTGCATTTATTCATGCAAAGTGTCCAGAGGTGCCACAAAACTGACAGGAAAGTTACAGAGACACAAACTAAATCTGTAAAACAGATTTAGTTTCTCCCAGAAAAGTTAGAATAAGAGGCGGTAAAGTGACACCGCGGTGTGGGTGGACCTCCGTGTCAGAAAACGAGAAGAAAATGAACTACTAATGACATTTAAATAATGTCTCCTTTTCTATTTTTGTGCCCCAGTGTGACAGTAAGCCAACAGACTCGACAGCGTGAAAATCTGCAGCGTAAAACTCAGGCATCATTACCTTTATTATTGCTCACACCTGTTCTTTCCAGTGTTTAAGCCTCTCATGAGAACAGGGCCAGAGATTTCCACTGAGATTAAAGTCGGGCCCTGCTGTAGACGACAGCACCGGCGTTCACACACCGAGCCACAAAACGTGACAAACGACTTCAGTGTTCAGAGGAAATAACCCTGTTTTTTTGGTTTTTTTAAAATGGAGGTCACATTTAGGTGCATTGAAAACTCAAATGTTCACGTATCCATCCACCGTTTCTGATCTGACTAATTTCTCGACTCGAGCTCTTTCAGTCGTTTCACTGGGTTTCGGTTCAGTCTGCAGCCACATGCATTCAATATGAGACAAAAGAGGTCCTGCCCTGTTCTGATATATTTTTTTTTTGTGTCTTTTCTCTCTCTCTCTCACCAACTTCCCAGTTGACTGACATTCTATAATGGGTCAGATAAGGCAGCTATTCTTAGCGCACTGCACCGCTTTGACTACCCAAACAGGAAATGCATTCAAAGAAACCTTGCAATTAAAACATGCAACACAAAAGCACGATCCAACTGCGATGGGAATGTTTTCTAAATGACTACTGCTCGCTTTTAAGAGCTTTTAAAGCACTTAAACTGACTTTATAGCCTGAATTTTTATAAATTATAAATAACCAGTGAAGTTTAAGTTGTCAAATGTGGAATAATGGCACCGAATTAAAGAGATAAAAACCCACAGAAACATCATGACATGAGCTGCAGCACCTTTCTACCTCAGAGATGATTTCAGTTTCACTAATTTACATTTGCCACCATGAATCAAAATGTCCAACCACAACCAAAGTGCTTAAAAAATATTGTTAAAACAATATTTCAGAGGTAGATAAGGAATAAGGGAGTGAGGAGTTTAATTTGTAAATATTTAATCAGTGTGTCCTCTCCTAAATCTGTGGTAAACATAATGTGTCTTAAATGCAAAATATCAGAAAAAGTTTTTTTCTGCAAGTGTAAAACAATAAAACACGAGGAATGTGGGGAGAAGGAATCAAATTATAATGTGGAAAACTGTTCACTTTGATTACAAACATAAAATACATGAAAACGAATCACAAGAAATACTGTAAATAGTATTATAAAGTGAAAGTGTATCTTTTTAGTAGGTGGAGATGGGTAAACAGTTTTCTTGTAATTGTAAATAGTTTTCCACCATTAGTGCACATTGAGCAGAGCAAACAGCAGATTGATTGGCAGCGCCAATCGACATCAAGACGGTTTTAATAAATACGAAAAACAAATATATTTTTGTAAAAGTTGCAGGAACGAAACAGAAATGAGACTAAATCATGTTGGGGAAATTGGATGTCGAAGTCTGTCATGATAAATTTTGCTGGACGATAAATTGTCCCAGATGTTATCATGATAAACAATAATATTGTAATATTGATTCAGATGGTTTGAATCGTCCTTATAGAGCAGGGATTTCTTTTTTTAAGTAGGTAATTTCTCTTTGAAGCGGACATATGGTGCACCCCAAGGCTCAATCCCAGGACCTCTCTTATTCAATATCTATTTGCTCCCCAGTCTAAAAACCCACCTGCTCGGAGTTGCTTTTGAAACATAATCAATGAAACGGCAAAATGTAATGTTTCAATTTTTAACTGTTTCTTTGTATTTTTGGGTTTTTATTGTACCTTGAACTTGCTGAAATGTACTGTACAAACAAAATGTTATCGATTTTGATAGCGCGCTATTGACATTCTGACGTCTGCCCACCTCTTTTGATGCCTTGGTTGCATTTGGCGCAGTCTTTGGGGGTGTAAGGGCACCCCCCTCTGGTGATGGCAGGAATCACACTGGGATAGGAGTAGCCGTTGATTCTGCAGGGCTCTCCGTAGCACGCCTCCACCGAAGTGCAGCAGTAAACTGGGTGTCTGATCCCTGAGGGCTGTGGACCGGCGCCGGGGTGCAGCTTCGGCCTCTTGCTGCCCCTCGGGCACAAAGCCAGGGGCGGCATCGGCGACGGCGGGCCGTCCGGATGGGTGAAGTGGACGTAGTAGCCCGGGAAGCAAGTGTACGTGTGCGGGCTGATGGTAATGGCGGCGGGGTGGGCGACAGAATGGGGCGACTGGAGGTGGTGGTGGTGGTGGTGATGGTGGTGATGGTGGTGGTGGTGGTGGTGGAACACGTCGGACATTGAGCCGTCCTCCGGCTCCTTAAAGGTCTTGTCCTCCAGGAAGAGGGCCAGTCTGTGACAGTACTCCACGCATCTCTCCTGGGAGCAGCAAAAGCAGGAAGTGACTTCTGCCTCCATCTGCTCCTCTTTGATTGTTTTTAAGGGGAATCCCAGCGACGAGCCGCGCTGGAAGCCGTGCCCCGCTGTGGCGCCCGGCTGACACAGACCACAGCAGCAGCTCAGTTTGGACTGAGCCGGGAACTCCGCCACCGGTTTTCTGTGCTTCAGTGGCTCGTCTGATTTGGCGTGCAGCCTTCTCGTTTTGATCTGCGTTGGTCCTCCACAGACAGGGTCGACGTTTGAGCCGCCCTGATTGGACTCTGTTTTCTTCTGCCGTTTGGTTTTGTACTGGGAACCAGTGAGTTTGAGCAGCGTGGCGGCGGTGAGGCCTGCCTGACGGCGCGGCGTCGGTGCTAGCAAACTCAACCAGTCGATGCTCTCCGCCTGATTCTTCTGTTTTTTGGCTCTTTTCCCTCCTGCAGAAACATTTTTGGCTTTTGGATCCCCGTCTGCGTCTTCGCCTGAAGGCTGCGCTTTCTTTGTGAGGTTGGCCATCATCGAGCCGTCTCTGTAGAGCAGCAAACTGTTGACGGCCTCGGCGTTCAGGGAGGCCATTCTCCGCCTGCGAGGCTCGACAACCGGGGGAGCTAGCATGAGTAAGGCGTCCTCTTGGTTGGTTTTTGGTTCTGGAGTTTGCGGATTGGTGGTGGAAGTTGACACAAGTCCAGATTTGGTCGATCTTGAAACAGAGAGCCCTTTCTTTTTGACCTTGACGCTCTTTTGCAGATTATATTTTGCATTCTTTTCTTTGTTGATGACTCGTTTCTCATCCAGACGGGTCAGCAGAACGCAGCAGGAGAAGGAATCTCTTTTCCCGAATCCTCCAGTCGTCTTCCCGTGACAAAAACCTCGTAGGTCCTTCTTTCGCTTTTTAATAATCTCATTCTTTCCCACATTTCCCTTCTGTTTGAGTTCCCCTTTCTTCTTGCAAGCATTCTTCTTCTGCAGTTTCTTGCGCTGCAGCGGCTGGCTCTGTTGCGCTTTCACCATGGTCTCAGCATCAGTGAGCAGATGCACCGAAATCTCGTCATCCAAAGGTTGCGCAGCAGATGGCTTCAGGTCGGCATTAATCTGTGGTGAGACACAGCACACGTTTAAACCGAGAGCAGTCAGTCAAATGCAGTGAGCTTTTCAAGTTAGAGGAGAACATTAAATTACCAAAATATCATGAGAATTATAAAAATATGTAAAGCTAGCCGCTTCAGGAGTCAATTGTGTGAGATTTAGTCTCAGGATTAATATCATGTGAAAACCCCAGAGGATTTTTTTAGAGATTGATAGAGAGGAAAAAGCAGTGATGCTAACTGTGGAGGAGCTACAGAGATGCACCGCTCAGAGATGCACTGTTTTACTCCATCCAATATGAAGTAAAACAGTTTTTAGTTTTACTTCATATTGGATGGATGGATTAAAAAAAAGGACAAATCAGATAATGGATAAATAAAGAATAAATGATTTTAAATAAAGAAGATGGAGGGATAATGGACGAATAAATGGATGGATAAATTATTGCACAGAAGAGGACAAATGGAAAACAAGAAGACAAACAGACAAATGGATGAATTAAAAAGATGTGGAGGAGACAAAAGAGGATGGAAACATAGAAGATGGATGGATAGATAGACAAAAAAGGACAGATGGAGGAAACTAAGAGGATAGAGGGATGATGGATGAATAAATGAGGAAAAGAGGACAGATGATTAAAAAAGAGAACGATGGATGGATGTTTCAGAAAGTGAGGTGGGAGATAAAATCTGGAAAAACAAAGTTTCCATGTTATTTTCTATCCTTAATCATCTGCAGAAAAAAATCTTAATTTAAATTCCAGATTTTAATGAAATTACCGATAATCTGAATCACCCTGAAGTTTCTGCAGTTCAAATTAAAAACGTTCAACCTCTCGGGGTTTAATATTCACACATGAACATATTCAATCAGATTCTCTTCATCACAGATTTGTTTCATTCATTTATCTCGAATTCAGCAGATTTCTAGATGATTCTCTGCCATGTTGGAACTTGAGCAGCAAATCTGCACCATTGGAAACAAAAACAAGCCAGAAGCTCATTTCTACAAAAACTGGTGGCAGAAACGCTCGTCAGCGCAGCGGCCTCCTCGGTTTCCATGTCAACAAGCTAATGTGGCGCACATCAAACCGTGTATGGCAACTCCGGAGGAGAAAGCGCTCCACCAAGCTCTTGATGCAATTCACTCATCTATCCGAGATTACAAAGGAGCCCGACGCGCCGACCCGAAGGCCTTCGCAGCGCCTGATGTTTCAGCTGATGCTGACCTTTATGTGTGGCAGCAGGAGGAGGAGACGGATCGCTCTTCCTGCCTCGGAGCAACACAATTATCCTGCTTGACCTCCAAGAAGTCAGTCAACATGCTTGTCTTTTAATATGAAGAGGCTGTTTAGCTGGAAAAGCACCGAGTTTTCACAATAATGCTTTGATTCAAGATGGAGAAACCTTAAAGGTGATCTGTTACAAGTTATGATCCGTCTATGGGAGAAACAGAGCTTCAGTTCTCAAAGCTACAGGCACTTCATTAAGTCTCTAGTTGTACGGAAGGTGATTACTGCCACTGGTAAAAAGGAATTTAGATTTATTTCTTAAGAAAAAAAAAGTCAGAAAAAAAAAGTTATTTAAATAGTCAGAATTCTGATTAAAACGATTTCTGAGGAAAAAAAGTCTAAATTCTGTGAAAAGGGAATTTGTAGAAAAAAGTCAAAATCCGAAGAAATAAAGAATTCTGAGAAAAAGTCAGAAACTTTAAAGTAAGAATTCTGACAAAAACATAATTCTTAGAAGAAAAAGTCAGAATTCTGAGAAAAAATAATTTTGACAAAAAAGTGAAAATTCTGAGAAAATTCCGAGACAAAAATAATTCTTAGAATAATGTCAGAATTATGGAAAAAGTCAAAACTCTTAGAAAGAATTATAAGAAAAAAACGTTTTTTTTATTCCTGTGGCTCTAATCCTCTTTCATTAATCTGATATCTTTCAGCATGAGCTGTTTTAGGGTCTCTTGTCACTTTAAATCCAAATTGGCTGCTTTGCACATGAAAACATACATCTCTGAAAAGCAGAAGTGGAACCTTCTGCACAATCAACAAAAATGCAGCGGTTTGTTTCCGGATGGCAAGTCAACAACAAAACTTTTCCAGCAGTGCATACAGCTGTAAAACCAGCTGACCAAACTTTCTGGAGCTCTATTTGGGTTGCCAGGTAACGACACTGGGCTCGGCTGGTGTTGCAAGGTATCAGTGTAACAGGGAATGTGTCTTAGCAATTTAGAGATTTCTGATGCAGCACAAAACATTAATTTATTGCTGAAAAATGTCGAGGAGTTTCTTTAAAGCACTTGGACTGTTTTTAGAAGGAGCTGAGACCCAAACGGAAGTACAAAAACTACCAAAAAGTTAATTTTGCATAAGTTTCTGTTGTCATTGTTGCCTTTTTCTGCTTTATCGTTTCAACATTTAGCTTTGGCACTTAAGCCGAGAACGCCCCATAAAAATGGATAATATCAGGTTATTGCTGAAAACCTCTTGCTATGACGCATAAAAACACATCTGACAGCCGATGAGCGGATTCAAGTGTCGACCAACTGAGCAGCAAATTGCTGTATTTTTATGATGACAGCTTGCAGTCGGGCGACACTAAATAAAAGGTTTGAAAACCAAAAATGAGCGTAGGCTTTGCCCCGAGTGTTTTTACGATTACAGAACAGACAGCAGATATTTTCTCTCCATCACAGTGGAAAATGCTCAGACTTTCTCAAGAGGCTTGAAGCAGCGGCCTGTTTCAATAAACATTATTCCCGATCACACAGAGGCACGCATGTAAACAAACGCAAACCCGTTTCAACTGCCTGTGGTGGACATTTCCAAACGTCTTCAGCCCTTTCTGCCGAAAAACTTGGTGAACCATGAAACACAATCTATGAGGGCGAAATTTAATTTCCACATAATAAGCACACAGAAGGAGCCTCGCATTGAGTTTCTGTCTGCGGATATCAAATCAAGTTGCTCCATTTGAATAGGACAAGCGTGCAGCTGAAGGACAGGAGCACAGGGAGAGGCGAACCAGAAACAACTACAGATGTTTCATTTCTACAGATTCTACATTCACATGTTGGGATATTTTCTTGTTTTTTATTTGTATAAAAGAAAATATATTGCACAACAGCTAAACCTGCAGCTTTTACCACTCAACCACACTTTGAGTGGTGTGGTTAATTAATTAGCCTGTCAAAATTAGCAATAAGTTGCATGATAAAACGAGCTCAGGAACTTCCATTTTCATAATTTATTGTTTTTCTCTTTCTACCAAAAACTGGAAGCTTAATAATTAATTTTATTTGTTGTTGTTTTGTTTAGTATACTTAAAATGTCTTTCAGTGCCACTGTTAAATGTTCATTAAAGTTTTAACTTTATTAATCCAGGAACTGTTCTTCAGGTGACAGAAGGCCGACTTTGTAACCGTCTTTATGTGGCTCTGAATATTGAGGTCAATCATTACATCCAGATTTCAGAACTTATAAATAATTTCTTGTCAAACTCTGTTTTATTGGTGCATATTTGTTTAAGGACTCTAATTTAATTCAACTTATTCATATTGCAGCAACTGACAACAAGTGAATCCAGCTGAACAGAAACTAGACCTGAAGAGGAACCGTCACACACCAGCATATCAAAGCAACTGTAAATAGAAAACAATGAAAGGAGTAAATTCATCTCTGAAATTTTCACCAAAAAAAAAAAAAAAATAGCCTATGTATATATTTCTGAGTTTGAAAACTCAAATATTTACTAGAAAAAAAATCTGAAATTTTTCAGAAAGAAAAACATTTTCAAAGAAATTTCACTTCTGAAATTCAGAAATTTTCCCGTTTTTTGGGGGGGGTTCTCAACTTTCTCCCTTTTTGTAGATCTTTTTTTACTTTTCAAACTCAGAAATCTCTCTGTCTTTCCAGAAAACTTCTGAGATTAATCTAAAAATTTCCAAACGTTTTCTTGCAAATTTTCCTGTTTTTCAAGCTGAGAAAATTCTTTGATTTTTCCAGAATTTTGATGAGGTTAATCTCAAAATTTCTGAATTTCTTTGGCAGAAATTTTCTCCTCATGGTCCTTTGTCAGCAGAGTCAGTACAAAGCATTTAGTTATTTCAAAAAATTTGATTTATATGCATTCTTTTAAATTTAGCATCACATTTTAATCATTTGTAACAAATGCATTCTCTTATCAGGGATGGAAAGCAAATTGCAGCCCCTAAATGCTCACGATTGAGACCCACTTTGGGTGATTAACCCTCCAGCTGAGAGCAACTGTAAGTAAATAAAGCCCCAATGACAGATGAACTAGGCGGTTCTCTCTCTCTCTCTCTCTCTCCTGTTGATGGCGCATTAAACTGGCTGGAGCTTCATCTCCAGGAGGAAGAGGATGGAAGGAGGACATGGTGTGGAGCAGGAAGCCCCCAGGCTGGAGCTCTCCTTCCTGCAGGAATCCGAACCGATATCTCCACTTTTCTGGAGCGGATCAGCAGTTCAGCCGCCATCCTCCACGCTCCAGCCAGTCAAACACGCCCACATCCACGCAGGAATCCGAGTCACGCCGAGCAAAACGTTTAAATCACCAAAACCATAAAGAAATAAAGAGACTCGCCTCGGAGGAGCGTGTAGTTGTCAGTCTGACAGCAGGCAGGGTGTTACATGAGAAGTATCGGAAAAGCAGAAAGGGGGGTAAAACACCCGAAACATCTCGGTTCCGACGGACTTGAGGGAGTGAACCGCTCGGTACTAGCGGAACCAGCAGCAGCAGCAGCAGCTCGGATTACAGCAGAGTTGTTGCTGCAGACCGCGATCATCTCCAGCTGGGACCGAATTCAAGCCGATTACCTCCCGCCGGGCGACCCAGCCCGTCTTTAGTTCCGAACCTCGGCTCGGACCCGAAGCGAGGCGGACGGCGATGCACGGAGCGAGGAGCCCGCAGCAGCTGCAGACATGGTGCGCGGATCGGCGGAGCGGTGACCTACTTCCGAAGCGACATGCTGGAGATAATGTTCAT